CTCTGAGATTCCTTCTTCTGCTTGGCTAATTCTGCTTTCCATGCTTATTAGTTTGTTATTATTTCCATCACAGTATTCTTTACTGCTGTTTTTTTCTGACATCAGCTCCTTCCTATTTTCCTCTTGTCTCTCCTCGATTTTTTTTATTCTCTCTATTACTGTGTTGATGTCTGGGTTTGTTTCATGTGACCAGTCATTCTGGGGGCTCTTCATTGTTTGTGTTTCGAAGTCTGTTTTCTCAGTGTCTGAACTCCCAGTGGTCTGTGTGAGACCTATATTCTTCTTTCGGTTTTTCTTCATTTGTGCTTTTGTTGTTGTTTTCATTGTATTTTTGTTGTTGTTGTTGTTGCTGTTTTTATCTCTTCCCTACTTTTTCCTTCCCTCCACGGCACTGTCTTCTTTAATCTGTTATTCAGGGGTGGAGGGGTTGTTTTTACTTCTGTTTGTTAAACCTCCTATTCTTCTTTATGTATGTCCTCTTACTTTGTTCAATTCTGGAGTTGCACTGTAGGTTGGGGGTGGTCCTTTTTGCAGTTTTGAGATTTACTTAAGGGAGGAGCTATGATTCAAAATCTATCTGCAGGTCCTGGTATCTGCTGACAGGTGTATGAATAATCTGAAACTCACTTCCCACTACCTTGGAATCTGTCAGTGCAGTGGGGTTGTAGGTTTACTCCCTGAAATAAAATGCAGTTACCAGAGGGAAGAGAATGGAGCAGGCAGTGGGAGGAAAAAGGGGGTGGAGAGAGAGAGGAGTAAGGGTGAAAACAGATGAGTGTACCAACAAATGGAGAGAGAGACAAAAATTGAAACATATAAAAACAATAGACCACGGCTACAAACTAACCAACTCCCATACAAAAAAAAAAAACTAAAACAATGTTACTAATATACAAGCTTGCCAACCTACTTATTGGTGTGCTATTCCTCTATACAAAGATATGGGTTACAGAGAGAAGAAAAGAAGGGAAAAGAAGGAGGAAAAAAAGCGGGGGGAACAAAATAGAAGGAATAGATTGGTTCTACTAGTAGACTAACGGAACCAATCAAGCACACGCTGAGACTTTTTGTTTAAGTCGAATGTCCTTTCAGCTCTGATTTCTAGCTGTCTTTTCAGGCTGGTAAGTTTGTTCATAGTTAGGATCAGTTGCCCCTGGCCTGTTGTGAAGGGCAGTTCAGATCATCATTCAGTTCATGACTGCCCCGTTCACCACTCAGATCTGGCCTGTGTCTGTCAGGCTTCCATTTTTCCTCTTTTGGTGTTGTTACCTTGAAACGCCAGCAGGTGGTGTTATCCCTCGTTCTAGATGGTCTTTATCTCAGAAGCTTGCTTGCCCCTAAGGGGGGGAGATGTTGCCTCAAGGCACATGGTAGGAGACCCACGGCCTGGCAGGACATCTCAGTGGTAGTAGACCTCAGCAGATCTTGCTCACAAGGGTTTCAAGGTCTGAAGTCGTGGATCACTTCAGGCACAGGCAGTGCGATGTATAATGCCTGCCTTGGAGCCGGCTCACCTCAGGCACTGGCAGTGTGATGTGGAAGGGGTGCCAGCTGTGCGGCAGCCACAGCAGCGGCAGCCACAGTAGCTGCCCAGACCGCAGTGATGCCTCAGCGAAATCTACGGCTGAGCTCCATGTGAAGAGCAGGCTGCCGACGATGGGATCTGCAGCCTCCGGGGAGAGAACCCGAGTCTCCTTGTGTTCTCCTCGGTGGAGAGTCTCACAGACCGAGCTGCCCCGTTGCCATCTTGGCGGAAGTCCTCATATTTTATATTTTTCTAAGGCATTATCTATGTTAAGAAATCACCTATGTTTTGGTCAATTTAGTTTTTATTTCTTTGTTAAAAATTTAAACATAATGCAGTCTTATTATAACAAGCCAAAATGTATAGAATAAAAAACAATAGCTTTTTGTTTTTCATTCCCCTACTGAGGATGCCAATTTTAGTTTGATGTTTTCATAGCTTTCTCCATGGTCATTTTGTATACTTTCCACTGCTTATATGTCTCTTATATTAATTATTCATGCTATAATTTATTCTTTTTATACATGTAAGGCTCATGGTAATGTCAATGGCAATTTCTCTGTGTGATGACTATGGGATCTGACTATTAGTTAATACTTTAAGAGGCTAATTCATAGACTTTGTAGCATATTAGTAAATTTGATATTTTAATTCAAAGTTGATTTTGTTATAGATACAGAAAATAAAGTCTTGACAGGGTGAGTTAAATTTTTCAGCTGAATATTGTGCTCATTTGCTCAAATTATGAGAACACATGGTAGTATTGTAATAGCACCACATAAAGCCTTATAACTATTACTACAAAAACACCTATGCTAATCAATAACCTTTTAAGATCTCAGACTTGTTAAACTATTCCTAAGAATATGTGTAATTTATATTGTACTAAGCATTTTAAAATTTCATACACTGAAAATTATTTAGACATAAAATTTTTATGTGGATGGTAAATGGATAGTATATTACCTTTTGAACTCTCCCCAGTCTCAGGAGTATTTGAGCCTTGAACCATTAAATGAAAAGAAGAAAATAAAGGTTGGTCAAATGAAAATAATAGAATTCAGAATTCTTATCTGTAATCATTCGTCTTGCCAGATCCTGTTATGTGAATTAGTTAAACTCATGTCTAGATATTATGTATTTATGGCACTGAGCACTACTTTTCTTTAGCACTACTTTTCTCTGTCATAGTTTTATTTCAAGCATTAATTTATAGAGTACAATTGCATATGTAACTATAGCCTACCTGAAAAATTAAAACCATGCTTGATAGAATATTCAAAATGTAACTATTATGTATTTAAGATGGCAGATCACACTGAGGTGATGAAAGGCATTCATCAATATCCAGGAATTCGCTATCCTGTTCTTACTCCTAATCTTCAGGGTTTTCACCGTGCTGTAAGTATGCTCCTCATTTTTCTAAAACTAATATGCCTCTTATTGTTTTAAAGAGCCTTACAAAGTTAAAATGGTGTCATGTGTAACTTATTTATAATCTTATATAAATGCTGTGCTAATATACTAACACAGATGTATAAAGCTCAGTATCTTCATGGCATCATTCAGGACTAAAGTAATCTACATTAATGGCTCTTCCAGTTTAATCGTTCAATAACCAAACATAAAAATAGTTTTCCATTTTCATGAATTTTTTAGAGTGCATTTTGTACGTTCCTCTTAAGTAAGTAATATAGAGTACAACTTAAACATTTCTTAATGCGATTTAATAATTGTTAATATTATTGAAATTGATGACTATTTTTGACAACTTTTTTTGTTTCTGTTATTTTCTAACCATTGTCATTGTATCTGCCTCTAGTGACTTTTCCTATTTCTCTTCGAGTTTGTTTTTTTCTGATCCTATGTGACTTAGGAATTTATATGATTTCAGTAAAAGTTTTAATAATTACTAGAAGAACTCCTTTAATTTTAAGGTATTATCCTTACATGGGTTTATTATGGTTTATAGCAGCTATTTCTGGTGCCAATGAATATTTTTCAGTTATGTATTTGAGACTTATGTATTGTGTAAAATTGAGGTTGTGGGGTGTTAATTAGTGTATCTACTTTGAGTGTATCTTATTAGAGCCATTTTTTTGTGTGTGTTTGATTTGATAAAATTTTTATTGCATTTTAAAGAAAGAGGCATTCTAAAAATATTTTATAGATATTGCTACCTTCCAGTGGTTCTAACAAAGCAGAGAATGTCTCCATCTTGAAGTAGATGCTGAGAGGAAAACCTCATGATAGTTTAGAAGGGCAAGCAATATAGTGGAAAAATTTTGGCTTGGGAGTCAGGCAATTTTGCCCTCAAAACATGACTCTAGAACTTTTACTACTTGCATAATGTCATGCTAGGTTTTCAGTTTTTTTGTTCAACAGTATTTTCAACTGGAAAATGGGTCTAATAACAGTTCACAGACTTGTTTGTGGCTTGCAAAAAGGGCACATAATGTACTAAAAACAGTACTGGTAAATAGGTGTCTACTAATAGGATTTTTATTTTAGAGATTGAAAACTGATTTTGGGCAGAGTCATAGATGTCAATTTATTTTTTTAAATGTTTGAGGGGGGAAATAATAACATAACTTTGTTCTGTTTTTTTTTTTCTCAGTGTATTAATAGGAATGAGAGGGCAGGACCTAGACAAGTGCTAGAGATATATTAACAGAAAGTCTTAAAATTCCAACTGAAAAGTTAGGAGGTTTGACATTTGAAAACAAGTCACTGGAGAAGGCTGTGGGAAAGAAAGAAAGCTGATGAAAGGGCAAATGGAAACTGATTAGAATAATATTTTAGGTTTAAAGACTGGCAAGTTGATTAAAGCATTAGGCACACAAATTATGGGCATAGAAGTCAAGGTACCAAAAAAAATGGAAGCTAGATTAGGCAATGGGAATAAAATTTGGGCAAAATATAAATAATGAATTGGAAAAATATTTTTCTATTGGATTGTAGGAAAGAAGAAAAACAGAAGCATTTACTATCCTCTGTATTAATAATTCATTTGAAAATAATGTTTTTCTTGATAATAAAGGTCTTTTTGGGGTGCTAGTATTTTCCATAATTAAGGCTAAAGCATTTCTGAAGATAATATGTAGTTTATGAAAGATGAAATGAAATTGGAACCTTATCATTGTGTTTTTGTGTCTTATAGACTTAGGAGTATTACAGTTTGTGGAATTATTACATTATAAACAATTTTTACATTTCAATAAGGTATATATGGCAGGATAAGAGGGATTCAATTTTAAATTCTATGGCAAATATTAAAGAATACAAACATGACTTTGTAGAGTAATTAGTCTTTCTTCTATTTGCTGTCACATCTTTGAAATTATTAACTTTTGGCTGTAAATTATATTTTTCAGGTTGCGGCTGGAGCCACTGAGATATCAGTTTTTGGTGCTGCATCTGAATCTTTTAGCAAGAAGAATATCAACTGTTCCATTGAAGAAAGTATGGGAAAGTTTGAGGAGGTTATTAAGTCTGCAAGGCACATGAATATTCCAGCACGAGGGTACTTATGAAACCCCATAAATTCTATTTTGTTAACATCTATTGTTAAAACTTACTTATGAACTATCTAGACATTCTTTTGCCAATTATAAAAATATATAAAGAATATCCTGTTTGTACTTTAATCAAGGCACTCACTATATAGTTATATCTCATCAATGTCATTATTGATTATTGGTGAGTATCTAGCTTGTCAAATGTGAAATGCAATTGAGATCAGAGGGACTAGTACACAAATCTGGCATTATTAGCCATTTTATTGATACTCAGTCATCTAAATGCAGCTCTATTTATCTCAGTTTAGTTTGTATTGATAAATTGGTATAAGCATATAATAACTTTTGCAAAAGAATTATCTAATGTAGTTTTCGATTTTTTTTAAAGCATGACCTTTTCTTCAAATAATATTTTAAGTAGAATTTCAATAGAATATGTCAAGAATAAAATTAAGCCTGTGTGCTACTCTGGAAAGTTGAGTCCCTCATTTTACCCATTCTATCTCCCCTCAATAGCCAACTTCCTCTCTTTCTCTGAGTGATCCCCAAGCATGTCCGCCACACCTTGCAGAATGTTGCTCAAAAATACTGCATATAGAAGACAAAAATCATTTTTCAATTCTCCACTATTTTCTATTGTATATTATATTATTTCTATAAATTCAGTTTTATCGGAAATGGCGACCCTTTTCCCTTTGCCTTGTCTTTTTCTTGTAGAACCTGCATTTCCCATGGTCTGAACTTTTCATCCCAAAAAACTCTACCTCAGGCCACCAAGGGAGAAAAATGGTACCAAGATTCACAAGCATAATTTTCTGCCTCAGGAGTTTAGAAATAGAACACAAAGTATAGTTACCTGAGTTGAAAGATTATGTGATTTGTCACTGAGTTCACTATTTTGGTGTTCCTAGAATGGAGCTACATGCAAACCAATGACAAGATAGCAGTAGAAAGCAGAAATGGAAAAAAAGGAGGCTCTTAGCAGTGATGAGAAATAAATGAGGAGGAGGAAGAATAAAGAGAAAAATCTGCCTTGGTGCTTGCTTCCGGGACTAGTAGCTGCAACATATATTACAACCAAGCCTATGTGCTGTGGGACATATACCTTTTTTTGTTACTTAAGGAAGAATTTGTTTTAAAGACATGAGATAATTTCCTATTTTTATAAATATAGAGATATGATTAACATATATCTTGACAAGATAAAGTGCATGGCGATTTGTAAGAGAAGGCTGAGAGTTGGACATGGGTTTGGATGCATGTGTACTTCCCTTAGTTGAGGTGAGCAAAGTTCATCATGGCAGAAAAGATTAAATAGTGAATGAGAAATACAAGCGAGTCAATTTTGAATGAGGGTATTAGAAAAAAGCTTGGAATTTCACCAAGATCGTCTGGAGAGTAAGTAGAGTGAGACTACACCATAGTGAACTATTTTGCTGGTTTGTCCTTCATTTTTAACTTACTTTTTCTCCTCATAGTAAGTCAACTTGAGTTTTTAAAGATGTGGAATTATTTTTGTAATTAAAATAGATACATATCATGTCACAAATATACAAGAAAACTTTAAAAGCCAAGATCATGTCCACAGACATGAAAAAAAGGATGTCTATATTTCAGACAATAGTTAAATAATCACAATCAAAAAGGAGAGATGTGCTCTAAGTTCCTAAATTCAAATATAAATAAGTTGTCTCTCTTTCTTATACAATAAAGGGAAAAATGAAGACTGTATTTAATTTCAATAGGTGTTTAAAATATGGAGTGTAAGCTTTAAAGTAATTCTCATCAGAAAGTTGAAAAAACGACAATAAGAAATGAAGTGCAGGTTGGGCACGCTGTCTCACACCTGTAATCCCAGTACTTGGGGAGGCCAAAGCAGCAGGATTGCCTGAGCTCAGGAGTTTGACAACAGCCTGAGCAGCATGGTGAGAACTTGTCTCTATAATAAATCAAAAAGTAGCTGAGAATGGTGGCGCATGCCTGTAGTCCCAACTACTTGGAAAGCTGAGACAAAGGATTGCCTAAGCTCAGTAGGTTGAGGCTGCGGTGGTCAAGATCATGCCACTACACTCCAGCCTGGGTAACAGAGTGAGATTCTGACTAATAAAATAAAATAAAATAAAATAAAATAAAATAAAATAAACAATAAATAAACAATAAATAATTAAGAAAGAAATGAAGTGTTTGTGTAACTTGCTCTTCAAATAGAACATTTTAAATATTGTTTTAACATTGGAAGATGAATATAAATTGTATGAACTCAGCTTTTATCATCTCATATTATCCTCTCTTATAAAGCAGAATTGTTAATGTAATTGAGCTAAAAGAAATCCTTAATATTTTTTAATACTCATTGTTTGACAAGTAATATTGCCTCATCTGCTATGAACAAAATAGAACTAAACAAACCAATAAAAAGCTTTTAGCCATGCAAAGACATTAAGTTTTCCAGGCTTCGATACAAGGCTACATATAGAAGCACAATATGAAATAGTGGAGGCTTTATTATAAAATTATACTTTTTATTTTATTTTTTTTTTTGAGTTGGAGTCTCACTTTGTCACCCAGACTGGAGTGCAGTGGCCGCTCCCGGCCACTGCAGCCTCGACCTGCTGGGCTCCTGCGATTCTTCTGCCTCATCCTTCCAAGTAGCTAGAACTGCAGGCATGCGCTACTACACTCGGTTAATTTTTTTTATTTACTGTAGAGATGAGGTCTCACCAAGTTGCCCAGGCAGGTCTCGAACCTGCAGGCTCAGGCAATCTACTCACCTCAGCCTCCCAAAGTGCGAGATTACAGGCTGAGCCACCGAGCCGGGTTTATAAAGTTATACTATAGACAAATGTGTGTTCTCTACTGAAAATTTTGTTCCTTTGGGTACAATTCCTGGATTTTGTGAAACACTGCTCATTTGTAGAAATACACCTTTCAGTGTTTGAGCTCACTAGTTATTTGTTCAGTTGAAATTATCTTCTTCCTTCCCTCAATTTTTAAAAGGTTAAGATTTTATTTTTACTGGCAATCTAGATTTTAGGGATTGACTGTTTTAAGTCACAAGCCATTGCTACCTATTTAAGAAAAAGAGCAACGTTCAACTAGCTGAAGCTGCAGTAGATGCTAAACTTTTTTTAACATGGCAACAGCTGTATCAACACGTACTTGATAATTGTCCAGAAAAATGTATGTTGTCAGTTGTCAGATTGAAAGTCCATAAAGCAGTACACGTTTTATTTACATGCTCACTAAAACCTTTTTAAATGTTTATAAATAGAGTAAACTTTCATATGTTCTCAATAGTAACCTTATTAGAGTTATGAAGGCTATTGTTCAATCTTCCCCCATTGAAACACACACATCACATGTATGTGTACACATTTTTATACATGCTCAGAACTTTATATAACATCTGGGACACATTGTGAAAAGATACCATGCCAAATCAGTGACATAAAATGCAGTATCAGTGAACTACTGCTGCATATACATTATATATGAATGAGTAATGAAATACCTATATTTTGAACTTCATTCTTTAATGTGCAATGCATGTAACATATGTTTTAAAAATCTAGATTATTTTTCTATTAGCTGTCTAGATTTAAGGCAAAGAAAAATAAAGACTTGTGATAAATGTAATTATTTCCTTTTTATCAATGCCATTTATTGAAAGAAATAGCTATTGGTTTGCCAGGATCCTCTTAAAATTGGAATACCTCAAGATGTGAAGTAGTGCTCTAATGTGTAAGACATTTTAGGTTTATTACTTTTTGTCTAAAGTGATTATCTACCTCTGTTTATTAAAGTCTCATGAATCGCCTGCTCATTCTCTTTGCGAGTGTATCAATTTAAAAATAAATTCTCAGTAAGTTGCCATGATTAATTTCACTGTTAGAATATTTACAAATTATAAAATCAGAAGGTTAGCGGATCTGTATACAAAGGCATAAACCACGAAAGCTTTTTTACATATTCACATTGTATACCACTTTTATAAAAACTGTAACTGTGAAACTTCTTTCAAATTTCCAGAAAAAATAGATGTGAAATAATGAGATTAAGGAGTAAAGACAAATTAGTAACTAAACTAGTATGGATAATCATGAACTACTTTTTAGATACAGACAATGAAACACAATTGTAGAGTATGATAGTGACTTACTTTAGTCATAACATATTGATAAAATGTAATTAATATTTAGGAGAAGCTGAGGTATTAGATTTTCCTCAAACCGTGATGATCTAGAGTGCTCATTTTATCCATCGTTTCATCATCATCTTCTCTCATCATCTGCTCTCTTCTTTCCAAAATCAATGAAAATCCAACCTGATTTTAAAGGATTCCAAAATAGATTGCATTATATACAGTAGGGACCAATTTCTTTGGTGAAAGATTCTCAATGTCAGGAAGTTCTTCCTGTGCTTAATAATTTTTTAACTGGTTGCCTAGCTCAATATAATTTGCATTCTTTATTATTTTACCGTATTTTAAAGACTGGGGTACAAGTCAGGCTTAGGTACATAAGTAGCTTATGTGCAGGTGAAGTGTGGGCCCCCGACTTGTCCTCACTTCCCCTGGTTTAGGGTCAGGAACTCTTAGTGATGTTACATGCCCCCACCTTCTTCCCCTGGCATTCTCTCACTACTGCCTATCCCTCTCTTGTAGTATTGTCATAAGTGTTCAAGATCCACTTATAAGGTAAACATGTGATATTCAGGTCTTTGTTTCTGTGATAGATCACTAAATGTGATGGACTCTAAATCCATCCAGGTCGCTGCAAAGTCCATACTTTTGTCCTTTTCTATAGTTGTGTAGTACTCCATTGTGTATATGTACCACATTTTCTTTATCCAGTCCACTTTTGATGGACAACAGGGTTGGATCCATGTTTTTGCTGTTGTGGATAGTGCTGCAATAAACATGCATGTGCAGGTATCTTTTTTGCAGAATGATCTGAGTTTCACCAGTCATATTCTCAGAAGGAAGATTGCTGGGTTGTATGGAAGG